AAGCATACAAGTACCCGCCACTCCATCCAGGTTGGCATCCTCATTCCTTCTAGAACAGACCATACTCATAGTCCCATCTTTCATGAAACCTTCCCTAACCAGTCAATCAACATACATTTATTAAGCACCTACTCTAAGCCAGGCAGTCACTGTTTTAGATATTATGCAAAGACAAAAATGAGATGGTCCCCACCCTCAGGACCATACATTCTATCAAGGGAAAGAACATGTAGATATGTAAGCATATATAAAATGTATACATAATAAATACACAGTAATTAGGGGGGACACTAGAAGCTGTGGGAAGGGATCAGAAAGACTTTGTGTAGATGGTAACACTTGAGAGATGAGTTTTAAAAGAAACAAAGGCTTCCAAGTAAGGGGATGTGAGGGTAGTGGCATTCCAGGTATGGGGGACAACCTTTGAAAAGGCATAGGGACAAATGGGAGATGACATGATGTATGTGAGGAAAAATAAGAATATCAGTATGACTGGATCATAGAGTATGTGAAAGGAAGTAATGCATAATAAAAACTAGAAAAGTAGATTGGGACCAGATTGTAAAGGTATAATGTATAATAAAAGCTGGAAAGGTAGATTTGGGACCAGAGAGCAAACTGTGTATAAATGATGCATAAAGAACTGTTCCTAGAGGCAATAGGGAATCACTGACATTTATTGAGTAGGGGAGTGACATGATTATACTATTTTTTTGCTTTAGGAAAGTCATTTTGGCAGCTATATGGAAGATTCTTCCAGTCTCAAATTAGCTGATGAATATCACTTGGGGTCAGGCCAAGACCCCCCCCCCCCTTTTGGAGATCATTGCTGTAGAGCAAAGGTGTCAAACATACAGTTCCTAATGCTCCTGAGTACAATCAGAAGCAGATTAAAGTGTAATTGGAGATGTTTAACAAAATAAATTTTAAAATATGTAAAACATGAATAATACTAATATGTGGTTTTCTAAGTCAATATACAGCTTGCAAGAATCCTTGTGTATAGTTTAGTGGCCCCTGTTTTATTTGAGTTTGAAACCAGGGTTCTGAAGCACAAGCTATTGAAACCCCTTACTCACTTAGTGTTCAACATTATCTGTTTCATGGTATGTATAAATTGTAATCTTACATTCAGTAAGATTGTAAGTCACTTGAGGACAAGAAAAGTGACTTCTATTCTGTATCTCTCCATTAGTGCCTAGCACATAGCTGAGAATACAGTATATTCTCAATCTATCCTTAATCAATTAAAATGTAAATGTCATTATTTCATTTTATTGTTATCAAAAGACCTTTTCCTGTACCCATGAAAATGAGGTTAAATTTTACTACTATTTTTCCAATGAAGATATTTCTTTAGGGAGTTTTCTAATCTTCATTCACCAAATAGGAAAGAAGAGACAGTGCAGAAAATCTCTCCCCCTAAGGGAGATACTGGATCTAAAGCTGTCAGTATTTATTTGGCATTTCATTTTCGGGAGAAGGGGGAAAGTCACTAATCATTAATTATTAGTAATTGTTCATTTCCTTTGATGTTCCGTTTCTTTGATATTTTTACTCTTGTTTCCACTACCAAAATGTAACTTTAAGGCAGAGGACAATGGGGAAAAATGGAAACTCTTGTTTCCATGCAAATGATCCTCTAAAAATAAAGATTAACTTTAAATGCAAGGATTTTTACAGTGTTTGTGATGAGACACAATTGTATTAAATGATGTATCAAAAAAAAAGTTCTTCCATTTATTTTGTTATTATTTTATAACTATTATTGTTATTATTATTCGAACAGTAGTTACCCCTAAGTGCTCTGGAGATAGGTATCCAATGACTAAACCAACTATGTAGACATTCCAGAGAGCATACAGAGGTTCTTCTAGGAAATAGATGGGCAGTTGTTCAGGGAAGTTTATGTTTCCTATCTCCCAGATGCCCAATTTCCTAAAACCAAATGTAGACCTATGGTTACAGTTTATTTCAATTATGGTAAGCAGAATTCAGGTCAGTGAATTGCTAATTAATTTATGAAATGGGGGTAGGCACTTCTGGTTCTTTGCTACTCTCCAGGAAAAACCACAATGGCAGTGGGAAGTAAGGTTTCAATCACATTTTAATAAGGCACAGAGGGTGCAGGGACAAATAGCACAAAAAGTGCAGAGACAATGCAGAGGGGGGAGGATACAGAGGCAGATGGCATGGGAGGAATGGAGTAAGCCAGGCAGCATGAGGAAGAGAATGGGAAGAGGGAGAGTCATTTATATAACCAAGAATTGGAGTTGGGAACACTTGGGCAGCATGTGCCCAAATGGAGACGGAGAAATACTTTGAGATTAGGAGTTTGGAGTCTCATTTCTACAGGGTTTTGGTGGGGGACAGACTAACTCTTATCCACACCATCTTGGGGTTAGTTCATTAACATATCCACATTATCTCAAAGTTATCAGTAGCATTTGGTGCTCTACTGGTCTTGCTGCAGATGTCTGGAGCTTATTTGAGCTTTACAAAAGCTCATAGTACCAAAAGGCTCTGATAGCAAGGTCTAGAGGGTTTCCCCTGATTCAGCACATAGTCTCAAGATGTGATTTTTAGTTAATACATGATACAGTTTGCAAATTATTGGTCTATAGGATAATCTGTAAATGACTTCTGCATTCCCCTTTGCAATCTTAATTCCTGCTATTGTTACTTTATACTGGCAGCTTATAAATCTACTATACTAACTAAAAGGGGAAGGGTCAGGGGAACCAGAACAAGATACTATTTTAACAAAGTTTTACACATAGACTGCATAGGCAGTCACCTGAGTGGAGTCAACTTGATGGGCACCAAGAAAGCTTCTCACCTCCTAAATACCTCATTTACCAGACTGTCACCAATGGCTATCAATCATAAAGCAGTTAATAAGCTGCTGTTAAGTGCCAGGCACTGTGCTAGGTGTCAGAGATACAAAAAACAAAAACAAAAACCAGTCTCTGCCTTCAAGAAGCCGGCATTTCTATCAGGAGGGACAGCATGTACATATATAATTATTTGCAGAAAAATAGAAAATTAATACAAGGTAATTTTTTATTTTTAGAAAGGGATAGCAGCTAGTGGGAGGGGTCAAAAAAAGGAAAAGCTCTATATAGAAAGTAGTGTTTCAACTGAGTTTGAGCTTGAGCTGAAGGAAACTGGGCATTCTAAAAGGGAAAGGTAAGGAGGGAATATGTTTCAGGCATGGAAGATACCTAGTGCAAAGGAGGAATAATGTACAATAAGTACTGAACATTCCTTTAAGTTAAGGAATTATCTCACAGAAGGACAAAAATCCCTGGGAAAACTAACACATGAAGTCATCGATAGTTATTAATACAGAATCACAGAACATCAGGCTTGTGAGGCCTTTTAATAACCCACTCTACAATCTATCTGCTGTGGTCATCTATTCTTTGTTTGACATTGGAATGTCAATTGGGAACTCCAGTGAGTAAGAATCTATGACCTCAAAAAGCAGCCCTTTCTATTTTTGGACAGTTCTAATTGTTAGGAAATTTTTCATAACATTAAACCCCAAGTTGCCTCTTTGCAACTTCTACCCATTGATGCTATTTCTACCCTTTTGGTCCAAGTAGAAAAAAAATCATTCTTTTATGTGATAGCCCTTTGAATACCTGAGGATAGTTATCATATCCTAAGTCCTTAAGTCTGCAGTTTCTCATATGGCATGAAGTAAAAACCTTCGACATTGGGTAGCCAGGTGGCACAGTGGATAGAGCACCAGCTATGGAGTCAGGAGGACCTGAGTTCAAATGCAGCCTCAGACACATAACACTTACTAACTGTGCAACTCTGGGCAAGTCACTTAACCTCAATTGCCTAGCCAAAAAAACCCCAAAACTTTCAACATGAACTCAAGGTCTTTCACGGATAGGTTAGTGTCATCCAAAAAGGTTTTCTTCTTGTGGGAAACCCAATAAACATGATAAATTTACAACATAAATTTACTGGAGGAGAATAAATTTATTTCTTTCTCTCTTCTACACTTAGAGACACAAGCACACAAGGAAACTAATCTAGAAATAGCTTTTATTGTTTTACTTAGAGTCAAGTGAAGTCAAAAAGCATTTACTAAGTACTTGCTATGGGCCAGGCCCTGAAGATACAAAGAACAGCATGAAACAATCCCTGCTCTTGAGCTTACAGTCTAATGAGAGAGACAACATGAAAACAACTATGTACAAATAAGCTACATACAGAGTAATTTGGAGAAAACCAGCAGATTTGCATTAAGAGATCATCAGGCAAGGCTTCTTGTAAAAGACAATACTTTAGATTAGTTTTTAAGGAAGTCAGGGAAGCCATGAGGCAGAGAAAGTTCCAGGCATGATGGTCAGCCATCAAAAATACCTAGAATTAGGTGATGGGATGTCATGTGTGAGGACCAAAAGGAGACCAGTGTCACTGGATAGTAGAATATGTAGAGGGAAAGGTAGAAGAGTAAAGGAAAAGACTGGAAAAGTAGAGAGAATAACAAAAGTATAGTAATCTATTAGAAGAATTTTTTTTAATATAAAAGATGTTGCTTCTGCTTACCCTCAGAACCAGTAATTATAAGGAGTAACTCCTCAAGTCTTTTCAAGAAATATGTACAGAGTATTATAAATTTGTGACAGATATATTGTCATGTCTGGAAACAAACATTCTTAAAGGATATGTTTAAAACCTACTTAGGAGGTTTAATGTCATTCTTACCAGCATTTTGACATAGAACATAAAACATGTCAATGCTGGAAAAAACCTTAGAACTCATCTAGTACAACCCTCATTTTACACTTAAGGAAAGGCGTTGTAGTATAGTGGAAAGAGCAATGGCTCTAAAGTGAGAAGACTTGAATTAAAACCTTGATCTTTACTACCTGTGTGACCTTGGACAAGTCACTGAACTTCCCTGGGCTTCAGTTTCCTTCTCTGTAAAATGAGAGGATTGGATTAGATAGACTGAGATTCCTTCCAACTTTAAATCTATGATATTATGACCCAGGAAGCTGATGCCCAGAGAGATTATGTGACTTTCCCATAGTCACACAGGTAACATTGTGGCAGTACCAGGAATAGAATCCAAGTCTTCTGACTACAGATCCAGTGCTCTTTCCACAACATGTTTTCACTCACATCATTTAGTCCCACAAAGAATTAACACCTGTATCACTGAGGCTTGAGAAATTGCTATTTCTAGAATTCTTTCTGCTGGATACAACTGAGAGAATGTCACCAAGCCTTTTTTCATCACCCAGACAATATGTTGCCCTCTTATAGTAACCTCTAGAAAAGTTCACCTTGAAAATTCTTTGTAAAGTTAAGAGGAATCTCCAGACTTTCTCAGTTGATGTTTTACTCTTCACTTCTTTAGTTTTCAATAGCGTCCAATTGGTTGAGACGATTTAATATCATGCTGTTTATTTTCTTGAGCTCATCGATATCCTTTCCTTCAGCTGTTAATCTTCTCGATACTTCATCCATCTTGCTTCCAGTTTGAACTTTAAAAAAGAAAATAAATTATATCAGTTGGTTTGAATGTGTTTTATCATGATTATTCAATGCTTGACATTAATCCAGGCACCATAAAGATCACAACAGTACAAGGACAAGTCTGCGCATCAAGAAGGGAAACAACATTCTGCCAAGTGAAGGAGCAGGGAGAGAAAGGGGAAAAGGGGGAGGAGAGAACAGAAAGAAGAAAGTTCACGCTTCATTGAAATATTTGGTGATTGATTGGTGTCAAAATTGAATACCCTTGGCAGATAAATGTAAACCTTGGCTAAGCTAAAAAACATTTATGGAAACAATAATAATCAATTTATTATCTCATTTGATCCTTATACAACCCTGTGAAGTAGGTGTTATTATTACTCCATTTTAGAAATGAGGAAACTTTGACCTAGAATCATGTAGCTATCTGAGTATCTGAGGCAGGATTCAAACTCAGGTCTTCCTGACTCTTAAGTCCAGCATTCTATCCACTGTGCCACCATTGAAATGGCCTGCATGATTATTTCCTTCAAAGTGATTGCTACAATATCTCATTCTGAAAAGCATTCTTCAAAATGGATTTGACTCTTCATTTTGGAAATGCTATTTGTTGTGATGAAACATACTTCTTTCCATAGAGAGGTGGTGGAACTTGGGGTTAGAATGTTGTATGCAGTGTCTGTTATAGTTTCAGTTTTTACTGGTTTTGTTTAACTGTTTTCCAGTGTTACAAGGGAGGAGTTGGTGGGCGGTGTCAGTATATCAGGAAATGACTTATTAAAAAAAAGACATAAGATTTTAAAAAAAAAACAAATTCAATTTTAGAATTATTTGGACCTAGTTCAGCCAGCTCTGGAATAATAATTACCTTCAAATATGTTTGAGAGAGGAGGAAAAAATATTTTCAAGTCAATTAAATTCAATAAGTACTTATTTGAACATCAATTATGTGCCCAGGCACTATGCCAAGCACTGGGGATCCAAAGCCAGAAATGAAAACAACACCTGACCTCAGCAGAGCTCCTGGCAATTTAGTAATCTAGAGAATGCCACCTTCAGTTGTATTTACAAAAGTTAAAATTTCCCAGAACTATAGAACAAAATCTATTACTCTATTGGAGCTGCTATTCATATCACAGTTTCATGAAGTTTTTTTTCAAGGTTCACCTTTCAAGGACTAATCACACTGATACCCTGCCACTATTCTCAGCTGATAAAGTGTCTTGGAAAGGTAAACTAGGTTTTCAGACTGGACCTTCCAACCTTGAAATAAGTGGACCGGAGAGCAGCTGTTCCTCATTGAATCTGAAAGTTATTTTAGCTGAATTGTAGCATTCAACTCATGAGGGAAAGATAGGAGCTTAGCAGAGCTACAGTGCTGGGCAGAGCTAACCATATGGTTTGAAGAGGAAGTATTCAATTCAAGTTATTTCACAGCACCTCCACCAACATTTGTCATTGTATCCTTTAACATTGTATCATTTCTTCTCTGAGGGAACTCCTTAAGTCTGTTCTTAATTATAATAAAAGCCTTATTAACTCATGAAGGGAAAGTCAAATTTTTCTCTCCAGCCAATACTAAGGAAACCCAAGACCATGGATTTGGAGCTAGGAAGAACCTTAGAGTCATCTAATTGTAAGATCATGGCATCACACGTCTAGAGTTGGAAGGGTCCTCAGAGGCCCTCTCATTTTGTAAAGGAAGTAAAGGAGGTCCATAAAAGTTAAGTGGCTTCCCAAAGGTCAAATGTCAGAGCCAGGATTCAAACCCAGGTTCTCTAACTCCAAATCAAGCAACAAAAATTTGACATGCTTCAGTAATGTAAATGAAAATGACACTAAAAGGAAGCTGACCTCTGATTAATTTTAATGACCAATCTTGCACCCAGAATATAGATAATGAAACACACCGTCCTCCACTCAGTAAAGAAATAGAAAACTATGGGTGTGGGATGTTGTATACCCTGGTGTCTGACTGGTTTTATTCAATTGTTTTTCTTTGTCATGGATGGTACTTCATTTTTAGGGGAGTGTGGAGTATCAGGGAGAGAAAGAGAAAATAAATATTTATACAGCTCCTACTATGTGCCAGGCACTGTGTTAAATGCTTTGCAAATATTATCTCCTCTGATGCTCACAACTCTAGGAAGTAGATGCTATTATAATCCCTATTTTACAGATAAGGAAACTGAGGTAAAAGATCAAGTGACTTGCTTGGGGGGTCACACAGCTAATAAGTATCTGGGGCTGGATTCGAACTAGGTCTTCCTGACTCCAGGACTAGTAATGATGATGATGATGATAAAAATGAGATATAGATATAGATATATGTACACACATATACACAATATATACATATGTACATATGTGTATATGTATATACATGTATATACACAATGCCCCAAAAGGGACAAAACACATTTTTTAAAAACATCAATAATTCATCCTCTGATGTATTCTCTTCCTTTCCAAAGTAAACATTGTGACCAAATTGAGACATCAAATAAGCAAGATTTGGTCAAATGATTTAACAAGAATTAAATAAACTATGAAACAAACTTATTCATGTTTAACAACAAAGCATTAAAATATGCAGGTTTGCCCTTCAGAAGCTAATCCTCACCTTCCCCACATCCCCACTCCCCCTCAAACCCTACAAGGGAAGGGCATCTATACGAAGTCTTACTTGGGTTTTTGGTCAGTTTCTGGTCTAAAGGCTTCCAGGAAACATTTCCTATCTCAAGAAACATGTTGAAAGTGAATTTCTCCTCCATCTCCTCAGCTGGAGGTGATCTTCTCCCTCTAAAAGTCTCACAGACCATTCAGGTTGAACTCTCCTGTGCACTTAACGATTTTCTAACTTTTGTCAAAGGTATTTGTATGAATCTCATCCCCCTATTTGGTTATAAGAGACAAAGTCATTTTCTGGTCTTTGCACCACTGGCATATAGGATAGTGATTTGTAGATAACAGACACTTAATTTAATTCAATAAAAATTTATTAATGCGAGAAGCACTTTTAAAAGTGCCTATCATTTGCAAGGCACTGCAGAAGTGGTTGGAATACAAAGGCAGAAATGGTCATTTCAGTAGTCCTTCCCCTCCAGGAGTTAGCATTCTATTGGCAGAGACAAAGTTAAGTAAAGAGGAGATAATCTGAAGGACAATAGAACATTAACAACCAGAGGAATCAGAAAATAATAAATAAGTTTAGCTAAGATGAGTATTGAAGAAGCTAAAGTTTCTAAGAGGAAAAGGACATTCCAGGCATAGGGGAGGGCCTGCATAAAGGCAAAGGTGCAGTAGATAGAATTTCAAGTTTGGGGAGCAGAAAATTGGCCAATTTAGTTAGAAAGTGAAGTACTTGAAAGAGGGAAATGTGAAATGTCTACAAAGATAAGCTGGAATCCACATTAATGAATGTTTGATGAATTGTTCAACTAAAATAGGATGTGTCCTCTTTTTTTCTATTTCTCTATAGGATCTTTCCATCCTAAATGCAAAAAAGAATGTCTGAGCAGCTGGAGATCAATATAAAACCTAATAGCCCCTTGCCTATAAACACAGTTTAAGTCATTGATTTTAACTCCACTATCGAGAGAGAGAGAGAGAGAGAGAGAGAGAGAGAGAGAGAGAGAGAGA